GCATAATTGCTGTTGTTTAGAAGTGTGATTACTCCTAGGTTATTGCTAGGTAACTCATTATGTTGTTTAATATTTCTTTAGATTTTAAGCTTATGATAAATAAAAAGAAGAGAAAATGTGTATAGAAGGCGATAACAACAATCATAAATGTATAAATTTCTACTTAATTAAATGACTTTCTTTTGTGGCTCTTTCATGAATATTTGAATATTAAACCGTTGGTGATATAAATTAAATAGCAAAATTGATTTCTATTGTCCGACTGTCTATTTTAGTCTTGGTTAATTTCAAACCTCAGGCCCGTTCGTGACACGTCGGGCCTTAGCATAATTATGTCGGGTCTTTTATCCATGAAAGCAAGGAGACAACATAATTGTGCAAACTTGCCCCATAACTATGCCTTGCACGATGTAGCTACGTTGGCATTTGTCCAACATGTGTATTTGATCTATTTTGGCATGTTTTGAGCGAATGTGAAGCCCTAATGCTATATGAAGGGATCATTTGAGAGCTAGGGCTGTCAATTTGGCTCGTTGTTCGCGAACAGTTCGTGTTCAGCTCGTTCGTTAAGCTTGTCAAACCGAACACGAACAAACTTTTCAGCTCAAAAAATAAACGAGTCCAACACGAACAAACATTTGTTCGCTTGTGTTCGGCTCGAATTGACTCAAAAAGAAAGAAATAAATAAATATACACACATATATAATAAATATTCATAAAATTAAATATTATGAAATGTAATTAATTAAAACTTTTTAAAATAAAAAAAATTTATCAAATTTAAAAAAATTAAATCCTATAAATTAAAATCTATAACAATCTATTAGTAAATATTACTTATACAAATATTATATATGTATATAATATATGTTTTATAATTAATATAATATATATAAGTATCGACTTCTTCTCCCTCTTCCAAGTTCCAACTCTTTTCCTTCCTCTCAAAATCACGAGGGTTCGACTGCTTCTCCCTCTTCCAAAATCGTGAAAGGCGTTCGGCGAGTCGGTGACTCTTCTCATTCCTCTCAAAATCGCGAAAGACATTCGGTGAGTTGACGAAGGTCGCGCTCCTTCTCCTCTCAAAATCGCAAAAGTGTTTTGACGGCGAGAGCTTAGGGTTTGTTGTTCCTCTTCCTCTTTCGAGTTCCGAGTCATCTTCCTCTTCTTCTTTCGACTCATCCCCTCCAATTTCGAGCCAAACTCGAGCCGGAAAATATTATTCGAGTCGAACACGAACACACTGTTCATGAGTCATTTCGAACACAAGCTGATTTCAAACACAAGCCAATGTCGAACAAGCTGAAAAGGAGTCGACCCTGAGCTCGCTCAAGCTTAGCTCATTTACAATCCTATTGAGAGCTTAGATAACTTTTGGCCCTTCAGGCTTTGCCTTTAGAGTTAATGAGAGCTTTGGGGCTCTACGATTTCTCCCTAGGGTTCGCTCGAGAGAGTTATTCTTATTTTTCCTCTTTTCATGTTTTTCTGTTGAGAGTTTTGAGAGGTCAAGAGAAGAGATTGGGTGAAGGAGATCTATGAAAAACTTGTACTGAAAGGAGAGGATCAGGGTGTATTGCAAGGACCAATTAGCTCGAGTTTGAGTTTTTTGAACCTCTTCTATTACTTTCCTTATATGGCTGCAATAAAAGTTTACATGTTCTCATTTTTAATGCATTATAGTTAACCTCATTATTGTGCTCTTGTAGGGTAAGGATGTGGTTTTCTCATTATTTTATTGTATGGATTTCATTCCTTAGAAGCCTTTTCTGTGCTTGGATTTCATATATTGATGTGTTAACTTTTCAGCTTTAAATTACTTCTAATCTAACCCAATAGATTGTTAAAATCTATTGCGAGCTATGTTCTAACCGTCACATAGAAAACAAACATGTTAACATACAATAGCCTAGTAGAAAAACCATTAAAGTTAGGAAATTGAAACCTAGATAGAAGACTAAAGGATTCCCATGAAACACTATATGGTAAAGCCCCCTTAACTGTATTATGGTTTCCAATACTTCTTATAATTTAAATATAGACTAATGAGATCTTATCCCTGGTTGTCAATAATAACTTAGGGTTTCATAAGAAAAACATAAATCACTAGACCAAAAACATAAGAGTAGAAACCTTTAATCTCTGAGAAACTTCAACAAAAATTAGTTTAACTTTCTGCTTTTTAGGACTTTAGAACTTTTAACCTTTTCATCTCTGACATTTTAAACTAGATTTAGAGATTTAATAAACCAGAGTTCCGTCCGTTAGAAATATTATGATAATTTTTCTCGTGGGATCGATACACGAACTCTTTATCAATATAATAGTTGATCGACATGTATAATTACGTGATTGATTGATTGTTTTGCACAAATTTTGGGTATCATACGGCACATTAATAATTTACCTATCAAATTCACATATTTCAAATGTCATAATGAAGGAGCAAATATAATCATATTCATGAACTGATGAATAACACGTTTTCTTGTATCCATATTATTGAAGATAACTATTGTGCACATTGTGAATGTCGTACCATTAGTTTCATTCATCTCCAAGAGAAAGCTTCATGGTGGTAATTCAAGGCTAAAAAAAGCCTATTTTAGCTAAAAAGTCTTCTCCACATATCTTAAAATTTTTAGGGGGCCATTTATTTTTTATTGAGAAAGAAATATAGTATAAAAAAAATAGTATAAAGTAAATGCATATATCAAAATGCAAAGGAACATGTTTAGATCAATATTTTTTTCTATATTTGGACGAGCACATTTTAAATACGATATAAAACTCAATGGCCAACGGTAAAGGGCTACAATCATGGTTGATGGTAGCGACTGGCGGTCCGTGATGACGACTGTGGCCAACAAATTACGAAGTGCATTTGAAATTTGATAAAATTTAGTGGTTGTTTGGTTAATTGAAAATGAAATAAAATGCAAAAGATTTGTAGATTACTCTCATTATAATGTTTTTGAAATATTTTAAGAATGTATGGTTCATTGTAAAATAAACGTAGGACTTTATAAATATATTTTGTTTGGTTTAAAGTATATTGAAAAAAGTGTATTTAAAAATATTTTTTTTTCCAATGGCAGAAGACAGACACAATGAGTGGCTAGCGGTGGATGAATTTTGATGGTGGATGGTCGGCGATTGATGAATGTCGACGGCGGAAGGCCGGCGGAAGGCCGGCGGAAGGCCGACGACGAAGACAGCGGTCGTGATGACAGTGATGCGGAGGTGGACGGTGGATGGTGGGGGTAGTGGAAGGCGAGAGCTGACGGGCAATAGGCGGTGGCTGAGGTGGTTCTTACCGATAATATTTTATGGTGTAACTTAATTTCGGACAAATCAGCCAAATTTTAATTTTAGCCAAAAGGAACAATGGTGTGAACTTCAAATTCATTCATATTTTATCTTGTATTTATAATTCTTCATACAAAACACATAATTTTCTAAAATCTTGTAAAAGAATTATAGTACTGCAAATTCTTCCAACCAAACAACCCCTTAATGAATTTCAAACACATTGAAATTTATCTAGAAAATTGTCATTAGCTAACTTTGTGAAGTCAAATTCGATCGCATATGACTTATTCAGATGCTTGTTTTAAGGCCACTTCTTTCTATTATTATTATGTTATGCAGTTAGGATTTGAATATTAGTTTATTACTATTTTTGTGTTCTTAGATGTAAATTTTTTTAATGTGATACAAAAAAGTGGATATGAGAATTTGAACTTTAAATTTGTGACATCGATCTTAATTCTTTTCATCTAACAAGTTGTGACTGATTTTGTGTGTGATTATGATTTGATCAAGTTCATTATATATTAATTTTCTCTTCTTATGATGGAAACTCCAAATTTAATTATTCAAATGTGTAATTAATTATTTATGTATTAAAAAAAAAACTTGATAAGACTAACTCAAATGTAAGGAACTATTTTACTTGGAAATACACAAAGTTGAAATTGAGTCGAGCGCGCTTTGCCATATGCATTTATTGTTAGAAATATAAATAAAGATATATCTCAAGCCAAGGAACACCTTATAGGTCCTAATGCGTCAACAATGAGTAATGTATTACGACAGCGCCTAGTCTATGGGCAAATTTGTCTTATAATTATTATTATTATTGGGTACAAATAGTCTTTGTTATTTCTAAGGTTGGGTTTATGCATGAGATTGGATTGTGAGTCTTAGGTTTAGAATTTGAGAGAAATTTCCAACATCTCAAATTATAGGTGCTTATCTTTTATATTATTTTTGAGTTGCTTGGATTATTGCAATAAAAATTGGTGTTTGCCCTAATTTCTGTGGAAAAGTCTGTCAATTTTGACACTGGATCATATTAGAATATTACAAAGTATAAAGAGATGAGCTATTTGTTTATCAAAAAGGAGCAAAAAATAATAAAACACTGTTTACGATGGAACATCAAGAGAGGGTGGTTGATATTTCCGAAGATTAAAAAGTTCAACCAACTTTACACGGTGGTAAGAGAGCATTTGAATCAATATTTTGAGGAAAAAGATGTAATGCAACAACAAAGGGAAGTTTCTAGGATCTTTTCTTCTTAAAAAATATCAGAGAAAGAGTTTGGACAAAAGTATTCTTACTATGATGGAGAAGAATTTGTATATATTCTGACAATCTGAAACTAGAGTATCTATATTCACAAAAGAGTTTGGGCAAACACACTAAATGGGTTGAATATTTATGAGAGTATACTTTTGCGTTGAAATACCATGCGGAGATAGACAAATGTATGTAGTTGCATTTAGTGAAGTTGTCATTTTACATGCAATGAAGATTAAAGTTACAGAAGATACAAACAGGTAACAATTACTCGGCTATATCTAAATAAGATGGTTGAAAAAGATTTATCCAGCAAATTGCCAAATATGGATTTAGCTATTGAAGTTTTTACACCCAATAACTAGAAAAAAAAAATTCAACATTTTTTATATAATATTTAAGCAACAAACATTCTTACTTTTGCGTGTTCCAAATGCTTCACTGCTTCCTCCTGAGAAGAAGAATTCATGAATAGCTGAATGCAACAAAGACCAGCTGCAATGTGGTCCCGTCTAAGTACCTAAGGAAGCATGAAAAGCAATAAAAGGAGACAGACTAAGAAATACTTTAAATTTAATAAAATAGAGAATATTTGAAAGCAAAATATGTCTCTACATAAGAATAACATTAGGTTCGTCAACTAAAATCATTCTCAACAATCACAAGGTACAAATACATTTCAAACACACTTCAAGATATAAGCTAAGGTCTTAAAACTTGAGCACAAGGGGACTATTTTGTCAATTTCAACTAAAGCATACTAAAATATACATTTTGTCTGTATCGACTTAATCTCAAAATTTTAACAATTTCAACTACAATGCTCGACTCCTGATGAGTTTTCGCAGAACAACGTCATTTCCAATGGAAAAAGTTGAGTGCACTGCACATATCCTTCCTCAGCGAGAAAAAATAAGAAAAATAATAATAAGAAAAAAATGAATAAGAAGAAAAAACAAAAATATTGCATCTTTGGCAAGCTGGATGACAAGGATCAATGGGTAAAAGCGCCAGTAATAGCTCTACTCTCCAATCACCATTGTTATCCAAGTTACCGGTTGCATTCGTCATGATAAGAGCAGTGATGCTTCTCACATACCAACAGCTTTAAAACTGCCATTAGTATTACCCGATATGGGCCCATGGGTGCCACACAGACAAAATAGCAGAACTTGTATGCAATATTGCAAACAAATTTTTTTTTTTCAAGGAACTTACATATGTTTTTAATATCCATGTCAATCTCTATATGTTAACTCTTAAAACAGGAAATGAGGCTACAGATAGGGCTGTTGAATTTTCAATCTCAAGTTGATTTAATCCCAACCCAAGATTAGATCAAATTCTATAAATCCACTCATGATCTAAGCACAGCATGGTTGGAGACTCGTTCGAGTATTCAATCAAGATTTAAGAGAGACTAGGCAAGTTAACTTCAATTCAAGTAAAAAAGCATCTCTTACAGGAAATTCTTAGGCCAATTTAAATGCATTAATATATATACCTGTGAATTTACCCTTGAGTATTTCACGTTTCCCAGATTTACAATTTTAACCGTTTTTTTTTTTTTTTACTTTTTTTGTAATATTGATTTCAACTGAAATTTACAATTTATAAAAAATCTGCTGATATGCAATTAAAATATATAGCTTTATTGCCATAGATCTTAACTTCTAAATTTTATTAGATGCATTGCATTTACAGTGTCATAATAGAGCAAGTTATAGAAATCAACAGATTAATAATTCAAGTAATTTACCTAGCATTTAAAAGAAAATTAAAAAAACCAACTTGTTGTGATGATGGATAGAGAGCCATAGGATTGCAGCTATCACCACACTCGTTGCCTCCAACAATGTTGCTGCTTTCAAAGTCACCGCTGCTGCTTTGTCCTTCCGCCAGCACCATTCCTTGTACTGAAGGTAAACTTCATGGCCTCTTTTGACATCCCAAGTTAAATAAACTCGTAAGCCGTCAATGACCAATAAAGCGTTTCCTCTAGTATTCCAGTTAGTATGCCAAAAAATAAACTTGTCATTTTGTCATTTGAACTGCGACAATGTTGATTATCGCCGTTTCAAGCAGAGACAATTTAGGTTTTCATAATTTCTTTTTTAAAAATGCTTCATAAATTAGTTAAATTATTAATCTGTCAATTTCTAACATTTCCTCAAGGTAATATCACACTCGCTAAATTTAATAGAAGCATTGAGTTCAACCAAAGTTTCTTCTAAAATTTGACCCCAGGGAACCGTTTAATTAAAATTATTTGCAGTATTTGATTTTTGAAGATTCTATTCACTAATTCAATATCGTGTTATAGAGAAGATTGTGGTACATACACATACAAATTCAAATCTAAATTTATAAATAGGATAGCATGAATGCATACGTACATAAATTTTCATTTCAGAATGCAGTCCTGGTTGACTGTAACAGTGGGGCCGCTGGGAGCAACGTGGGGAGGATGCGGAATTGGACAGGGAAAATAAACACCACCTCGGGAGACGGATACAACTAGAGCACCACCCAAACCCTTGAATACAACCCTCAAAGGGAGAAAATGGGCGCCGGTGACAGTCTTAAATAAAATACACCAGAAATTCACTTCCAAACCCAAATACAAAGCATATATAGGAAATGACTAAAAAGATTGAATGATAATAGGAAATAAAACATAATAAAGGAGAACTTTGACCTTATCCGTCAAAACTTTTGTTTTCTTATCATATGATGTCAGGTCGATCATGTTAAATGTCGCGGAAATGTTCTAATCTCCTGATAAGTCAATTCTGTTAGCAATGACATTTGGAAACACATTTTGATAGAATATGTATTCATCCTATTTTAGCACAATCATAACTAGACCGTACGTAGATGAGCATCCTCACAAGCTAAGCCCCAAGCCATCAAATTTGTAATTGGCTTCTTCTACTCTTCATACTCGTCCGAATGTATCCGATAACAAGTTTGTAAAGCGAAATCAACTCTGGGAAGAAATTAAGGGCAGGTTGAACTACATTGAAATATACCACTTTGGAGAGGTCTCTTCCTCTTCATTAAAAGGGCCTAGAGCCCATTGTAGGATGTTCCTTCCTACAAGGACATTAAGGTGATTTCTAACACTATGACTCATCCATCCTTCTTGATCCGTTGTCGATGGGTATACTGCTAAACTAAGTATAATAACCCAGTGACTCCCTATGGGCTTCTAGAAGTGACACAAAAGAGTCTAATCTTGGACATATTGGATCTCATTCAGTAAAGTCAACTTAGGATGTAGGTTATATACATCTGAAAAGTTTAAATTTCTCTTATTTGAAATTACATTGTGTTTGATATCGGCTCCTCAAACTCATGACTCATTTGGACAACCAATACCAGTCCTGTTGGAGCTCCTCTCAACGTCTGCAAATAGCTCGAGGCACCAAAATCTCTTACTTTGCATTAACATCTATTACCTCGGACCCTCTACCTTCTAGAATAGTAACTGTCAACTCATTTGGAGTTTCTCTCATGAGTTCAGCTCGAATCGCTGGCGTCTCCTCCTCGTCAACTGAAAGTCGAGTCTATCTGAAATCTTCATCTTCTCCTCGATCACAAATTATCTTTTCAACTGCTCCCTGATCCGTGAAAGAGATCATTCTCTTGGTTGTGGGATCTAATTCGGTAAGTCTAAATCCGTGGCAATTGAAACTCTTCATGACGGGATGGCTTTTTGCATGCTGGTTGGGGCCCTCTATTTTCCCCTATGAACTAGTGTCTCCTCAGGCAGAGTCAACTTTGATGTTCAACTGGGTGTACTCTAGTTGTAAGATCCTAGGGTTCAATCGTGTCAGTAAGTTGTGGTGGTCACCAGGTGACGTGGGGTCTCCACTTTTGAAGTTGGGATTTGCACATCTAGTCTATAGTGAACTGGTAGGAACTGATGTTGCATCTCCCATTTCATTTTGAATCAAGTAGTAATTTTATCTTTTCTTTCTCGCTGGCATTGGTACTTCAAATTTTTCCACCAAAATGATGCCCTGTTTTTCATCTTTCTGACAGCTAGTTTCATCAATCTATCCAATGAAACGCCCTGACACTCGAAGGCACATTTCAAAGTCTAGAGGCATTCGATGACTTCATCCGACTCCATGAGACTGTCAAAATATGAAAAGGCATTCAATAAGGTTTGGGTACATAGTTGTATTTTAATACAACATTTCATCCACAAACCGATGGACAATCACAAAGGACAATTCAAGTATTGTAAGATTTGTTGTAACTTTGTGTCCTTGATTTTAGACGTAATTGGGAAGATCATATTCCAATGATCGAGTTCTCTTAAAACGATAACTATCAGTCCAATATTAAAATCGCTCCTTATCAAACACCGTATGGTATGAAATGCATAACTCGATTAAGTTAGGCCGAAGCGTGTGATTGTCAAATGTTAGGTCACGAGTTGGTTGGTGAAGCTACATAAAAAATCAAATTAATTAGAAACAAATTGAAAGTTACTCAAAAGAGGCAACAAAATTACTATTACATAAAACACAGACAACAGAATTTGAAGTTGAAGATTTCATATTTTTGAAAGTCAGGCCAATGAAATGTATAACTAGATTTGGTCAATGAAGCAGGTTGAATCTCAGGTACATCGGTAATTTTCAAATTATAGAAAGAATATGTCCAGCTAGTTACAAAACAACGTTACCTGCAGATATGTCAGATATTAATAAAGAGTTTCATATTTTAATGCTAAGTAAAGAAGTTTCAAGTTTAGAGCAGGGGGTTTCACATGAAAACATAGATATACAGAAAATTTTAATTTATACTGAAGAGCTGAAAGAATTTGACACTGATGTTAAGAGGTTGCGAAACAAATAGTTTTTTTTTTCTTTTTTTTTGCCAAAATAAAGTGGAAGCAAAAGCCTAAAAAGAAAGCCACGGGGGAAAAAGAAGAGTAAATGCAATAGAAATATCCCTCTCTTCAAGTAAACTCAGAAATTTTGATGATAATTTTTTATTAGAGAACTATAACGCCCAAAATTTGAGAAGAAAGTAAAATTTGACAAATTTTAGAAGTATCACGAATTTCACACCCCTCGAAATTCAACCAAATTACCTTAATTAAACCTTAATTAATTATTCCCTAATCCCTCACTTTCACTATAGCTAACTGACACAGCCGCACTTAGTTGCATATGTGATGGCTTGATGCAATCCAATGGCTGAGAGCTTTTGGGATTTCCTTTTGTGTCGCACTCTTTCATTCCCCTCTCTCCCGATTCCTTGTCCTCCCGCGAGCTCCTATGCAATTCTGTACTTTAGCAAAGTGGTGAACTGAAGCTAGCACATAACCCACCAAGTGCTGTATGCAAAATTTCAGGTTTTTGAGGAGATTTCGAAAGAGTAAAAATCTCTCTTTTGCCATATTCTAGACATTCACTCCATCTTATTTTTGTTTTAATGCTTGCCACAGATTTGTGTAACTTTTTTTCGATAATGGTAGCAAGCGCCTAACTTGTGTCGGAAGCACGCACGTAAGCGTCGAACTTGGTTATCGAGCTTCTGTAAGGGCTTTAGCACGAAATTAGTGAAAGGGAAGGGAGGACTGAGGTGTTAACAAGAAGAAATGAGAAGTTTAGGCCAATTTGAGAAAGGTTAGGTTATGCTGAGAAACCTGCTTGAGGTATGTGTTGGCATTTAAGACATGTTTTGGGTTAATGCACGTTATGAATAAATTTTCAATAAACCCTAAGTTGTCTAAGAATTTCAGGTTATTTACACGAAGCGACGAGCTAGATGGAACTAACCGTAAGGCTGCTCCGTCAACTTAGAAGAAATAATTTTGTGCTAACTTAAAAAAAAATAACCTTATATAGGCCATCATATGATTTCTCATTTGACACAGATAAATTTAGAATTTCTTGCATATTGTAGAAAAATATCTACAACGAATAAATTAATGTAAGTTGATTTTTCTTACGATACATGTAATGATATTATGTTATGATACAAATGAATATGTTTATGAGATTAATTGTCTGCAACAATTCATTTGTTATAATTCATACATGCAATATATAAAATGCCTATGAATAATTCTACAAGTACCATTCTTTAAGAAATATCACAATAAATGTTATGGTAGACTATTACATGAATGCTTGCAAGTATGTTATGCAGGGATGTATTATTTTCAACTCCTGGTGTTCAGGTGATGATGAAATTTTATGAATCATTTTGATCAGACGATGGCAGGTCTACTATGGAAGTCATACATTAATGGAGAGGTTTGATGGAGAAGCTCAGAGATAATAAGGAGGATCTACATATGATTTTTATTGATTTAGAAAAACCTTGCGATAAGGTTCCAAGAAATATCCTTTGGAGAGTTCTTGAGAAGAAAGGTGGATATGACTTATATTCAAGTCATTAAAGATATGTATACAAGAACTGTTAAATGTGTTTGAACACGAGGGTGGGTTGACCAAATATTTTCCTAGTTCTATTGGTTTACATCAGGGATCGACTTTAAGCCCATATCTTTTTGCTTTATTTATGGATGATCTTACTAGACATTTATAGGAGGACGTACATTGGTATGTGCTTTTTGCTAATGATATCCTTCTCGTAACCTTGGTATGTGCTTTTTGCTAATGATATCCTTCTCGTGGATAGAACGAGAGAAAAAGCTCAAGAAAATCATGAATTATGAAGGACTGCATTGGAGTCTAAAGGCTTTCGTTTGAGTAGAACTAAAACTAAATACATTGAATATAATTTTAGTAGTAGAAGCTCTAGTGACATAAATGTAACTATGGGTGATCAAATTTTTAAAAGGTGTGAATGCTTTAGATATCTGCTTTAGATATCTCAGGTCTATCTCAGGTCTATTGTTCAAAGTGATGGTGATATTGATGGGGAATGTTATTAGTAGAATTCAAGTTAGTTGGGTGAACTGGAAAAATGCTTCAGGCCTATCGTGTCATAGAAAGTACTGCTTAGACTGACAGGAAAATTTTATAAGATGGTGGTGAGGCCTGCAATGCTCTATGGCACTAAATATTGGCCTTTAAAAGAGAATCATAAAACTAAGTTAGGTGCTGCCGAGATGAGAATGACTAGGTGGATGAGTGGCTTTATACTTAGAGACAAAATGCGAAATGAATATATCTGCGAAATTGTTGGTGTAGCTCAAGTGACGGACAAAATTAGAGAGATTCGTCTCGGATATTTTGGTCACATTAAACGTCGACCATCTAATGATCCAATTAGAAGAGTAGAAGTTTTAGATTCGACTTATGTTAAGAAAGGCAGAGGTAGACCTATGAAAACTTGGGCTTATTATATAAAAAATGATCTTAATTTATTAGACTTATAGCATGCAATGGAGAAGAAGGATTCATGTAGTCGACCCCACTTAGTGAGATGAAAGTTTTATTGTTGTTGTTGTTTGATGACATAACATAGAGAACTGTTGGTATCATGGGGCTATTGATAAAGCCAACCTTTATCGATAATTAATATGACTTCTTAGGTAGTTTGACGACCTATGATATGATAGGACACAAAACTAATAGAGATCTACACATTTACTGCCATATGAAAATATTGTTGTGATTACATTACTATGAGCATGCTAATGATTACATAATAATGGTTTTATATGTTTTATACAACAATCATGATTTTCTACACAACCTGCTTTCTTTCATGTTCTATATGATTCTAGCATTGATTGTTTTGTGTGGACATGTGCAATTTAATATTGACTTGGATGCTCTTTCTTTTCCATATTTAAATTTAATTTAGTGTTGATTATTTCGTTGAGTTTGTTGTTACTCACTCTACAATGTTGCATTTCAGGAAGAGACGAGGAACGTCGGGGCAAGTAGACACACGTGATTTGTATAGCTTTTGCACTTATAGTTTTGATAGCTTGAAAAGTCTTTTGGGATATATTTTATTTATGTTGAATTGAGTAGTTCTATATATAAATATATATTTTGATATTATTATTTTCACGCTTCCAAGTAAATGAATTATGAAATACAATGTATGTATAATATTTATAGCGATTTAGTTAAACTAGTTCATCACTCCCTAGATCTTAATTCTGCAAATCAGGGCAAGGGTCAGTGATAATTAAGTCTGAAACATTTGTCTGTCTTTATCACCCCTTAGTCTACCCTTAAAACGGGAAGGGAGCAGTCGGGGTGTGACACTGGAACAAAAGGGCAAGAGACGGTTTAGATGGCAGCAATGCTGGAAGGAAAAGGGAGGTGGCTGGAGATTGCAAGAAAATAGCCACCGGAGTGTTGTCCTGGATGTCTGTAGCAATTGAAGGGGTTGGGAGCGACTTGGGGAGGATGCAGAAAGGGATAGTGAAAATAAACACCACTGTGACAAAGGGATATAGTTAGAACACGAAGCAAACCCTTGGTTACAATCCTCAAAGGGAAAAAACAGAAGCCGACGGCGGTTCTAAAATAAACTAGAAAAATGACTTCCAAACTTTAACACAACACAGATATAAGAAAGAACTAAAAAGGAATGAAGGATAAAAAGAAATAAAACATAAGAAAGAAAAGGAGGATTATTTTGGCTTGTCTCCCAGATAGATATTCCCGCCATACTATAGCAGCTACAGTGCTGCAGTATTTTTTTTCAGTAAGCTCCTACATTGCACTTGAATTGCAAGAATAGGGAGAAATCCCCCAACTTTCGAATTGTAAGAGCTTATCTTTGTATTTGTGTTGAATGTTTGATGTTATTGTAATAAAATGTATCATAATTTATGTGAAAAAACATGTCAATTCTTATCATAGTGCTATCAAGTAAATTTTGAAAATTTAATCACATTAAAAACATATAAATCATGTGATTCAACACCCCATGATTGACTTAACAGTTGTTAGCATTGATCGTTTAGCAAATATGATTCTCACGAAACATGCACCACATATATCTCTATTTTATTTTACCAATTCTAAATGAAAGAAAATAAGGATAGGTAGGGGGTATATGAAAGAAAGGAGATGGGCAATGAGCGCAGGATTATAAAAAGATGTAAAAATGAAGAAGAAAAAAAAACCATCTATTAGTCGAATATATTCTGACACTTACTACTTATACAAAAATATTTTTCCACAGCTCGTGGTATGGAAAAGAATGGGCCCCAAAAGACTTGAAATACAATTGTTAGCATTGATCGTTTAGCAAAAATGATGCCAGCAAACATGCACCACATATATCTCTATTTTATTTTACCAATTCTAAATGAATGAAAATAAGGATAGGTAATGGGTGCAACTGTTTGAAATAAAAGGGATGGGCAATGGCGCAGGATTATAAAAGGAATATGCTCTGACTACTCGTACAAAAATATTTTCCACGGCCTGTGGTATGGAAAAGAACGGGGTTTCCAATTGTATAATTTTCTAAGCTTATTAAGAAAAAACCAAAGGGTACCCTCAGTCAAAAAAAAAAAAAAAAAAGCCATGACTCTGTAATGACATTAAAAAAAACAAACATTTCTGGCAATCCGTTTTTACTTGTCCCAAACCCCTGCCATCACCCCAGCACAAAATTCAAGTTAATTTACCTTATAATTATGCCATTTTCTTAAGGTTTCAATATTCCAAAACTTGCAAACACACTAACAAAATTGATTTGATATTCAAACATGTTTTTGCACAAAGACATCAATATTAGAATGAAGGGTGGATTACAAACAGCTGATAACCCAACAAAGCTCCGTAGGAAAATGAAAAATTTAACGGTAAAGGCCCAGCTTTGTTAGTTCTTTTATTTTAAAAAGCAATAAGATCTGTATCTCCCCTACATCATCATAATGCAACATAGACAAAATAGAGATAAAAACTATGCCAAATGCATAATCTTGTATAGCATCAGCATGAAAGCAATGCAAAACTTCTAAATACAACAGACAAGGGTTAGATTAGGTCATGATTGCTGTTAATATACCTGAAACTCATAAAGATAGTTGAAATTCCTATGTGTCTCACAGTAGTTGCAAATTCTGGCTAGAGCAGAAACTATGTATTGGCTCACTTTTCCTTCTTGGGATAGAGATGATGAGCTTCTCATTGAAATTATGCCCTCCAATTCAGACATGGCACCATAACCAATGCACAAGTCACATAAGTCATCAATTGTGCCATAGTCAGTTGCTAATGGATCCTGGCGTTGAGGAGAAGATGATGGGGTGTTGGTACCATGCGGTGATGAATGAGGGGGATTGGGTATCCCATTAAGTGGAAAAAACAATGAGCATGCATCTGCATAACGGCCATGCCTGAACATGAAACCAAGCATTTGTGGACGTGCATACTGACAAAAGAAAAGACATTAACACTTTATTACACCCAACTAGTGTTAAAAATGAAATAAAAAAAATCAAAAAGGAAAAAACATTAATTAAAAAGAAAAAGATGAGAAAGAGAGAGAATCACAATATAGATCACCAAAAAGGGAAGGGACCGCTAAACTTTGGTTTTATCACGTTGCTTAAGATCATCATTTGCTCTTCTAATTAATTGCTATGTTTCATCAGAAAATATGTTAATCATAGTAGCCACAAAGGACTGCTAAGTTTTTCATATAAAAATTTAAGTTAATATGCCCATGTTCGTTGGTTTAACAATAAGTCAGAAGTGCTCATAACTCTAATGCATGCATGTAGATGGCCCTAAAGCAACACATTATGACCCACTGACTTGTTCTTTCCCTTAAATTTTCAAGAGAAATTATAGAACGCAGAAACTTCATGTTGTACAACGTTTATTGTAATCCTTAAACAAAAAAAGTCAAAGCAAAGTAGGTGTTCTACTGCTTACTTCTTGCAAATAGTAAATGCATTCTCCATATCTAACATTATCAAGGTGACTATGAGGACCTTCAAAACGTGAACCAGAGGAAAAGTGACTGGTTAAAGCATACTGGTGAGATCTGGATCTCTCAGAACGTGGAAAAGTGGATGGTATATACAAAACATTGAGGTAAGCATCTGCAGATAAAGAATCATCCAAAATAGTAGGCGCACTTTTCTCCAAATGGTCATACCTGCAGGGTAAAAGTTAAAATCAAATTACAATAAAAATCACAAAGAAGAAAGTCTATAGTCAGCCAAAAAGGATAAAAAAGCAAGAAAAGAAAAGTAACTAAACATAGCAGTTGACATAAAAATCTGTTTTTTTTTATTTTATGAAGAAAAAAGGACATAGATAAATCATATGGATGAAAGTTTACTTACATGGAACGTACTGATGAAACTTCAACTGGTGGGCCTCCTTCAACCATATTGATAATTTCTAGGACTACAGATGAGGGGTCACCTTTATACAATTGAAGAGCTTGCCTACATGCACAAAATATGAAATGCACATAAATCATGCCGTCATTGATTGCAAATTTCTATATAATACAAGCATAAAATAAACATCTGTGAAGTAGAAATTATTATATTTAAATGCTGTTTAAATTTAGAGACAGATTCAAAACACCCTAAAACATCTAGAGATAGATTCATTTCACAAACTAATTCAAATGCTATAGTCATCACCAGTGATGGGTTCTAATCATACCAAAAGAACTTTGCTCGCTTTTCTTTCAGAATGTGCACCTTAGTTTCCTTCGATACTTGCACTAGCATTACAATATTAGACGTATTTTCAACCCAAAAGCTACTACATAAATACTATTAAGTTGTTTTCACATCAAAACTAGTAAACTGAATGAAGACAAAGTTTGAGTGCCATAGTACGTTACATATTAATTTAAGAAAAAAAACAACATTTAATTAATAGTATTTCTCCTTTGGTAAAGAATGTGAGGACAATTTCTATTTTGCAATACATTTCTACTCACTTAAATTTTATACGAGCTTGAGTATAGTGTTCCATTTGAATCAAGGCACGCCCCCATGCATTCCAGACAGGAAAACCATCAATCTGAAGGAAGAGATACTTCATGATGATTCAATTGAATAAGAAGTAACAAAGTATGCACTAAACAAATAATACAATCTTCCTTTACCAACTACTTACTACCTTGCATTTTTTACATGTATACACAGCCATGCTGTATCTTTCCTCTTGAATTAGCCTATCCCGTAGATGATCTGAAGATTCCTTATCAGCGATATCATCAAGAGAAGCAACAATTCCTGATCCTAAAAGACTCTGAAGAAGTTCTGCTCGTCCTAGCCAAATTTCAACATCAGACAGAAGCATGGATACTTCATCAGGGAACTGACTAACATTGCTTGAACTGGTGGTGTCTGAAGAAGCATCATCGGCATTCCAAATTGGCATTCCTACTTCTATCAGAACTACTTGATAAATCATAGTTGCCGGCAAGTTTTCTGAGCTGACTTTTTGCATAAGCCAATGCCTAAATGTAATCATCAAAACTAGTAAAAGTGTAATTTAAGCTAGAAAACTAAATTAAATTCATCATCGTTAATCTAATACCAACTATTTGAATCCAGCTGAAATACTAAAATTAAGTTATAAACTCAAATACCTGCACATAAGTTTCTGTTGCATGATATACGCGACCTATAGTTTCCATAGATACATTCAGAGGTAAATGCTGGGAGCTCAGTACAATCTTCATCTGAGAAACACACAATTCGAAGGCACCTTTGGCAGATACTAATTCACTAGAACATAATGTAAGTAATGCCTGAATTATAAGAAAACAATTTAGAAAACTTCATTATCAATGGGTGCTACGTAAATATGCAAAAAAATACACTTCATGCCAGTTTAAATTTCTTACAAAATGTTTTAAGTTTTCTTGAAGAAAGTTTTGTAGCAGTAACAATTAAATTATAACCCACTATCATACACCAAATTCCATGGTGTCAAGAAATTGCAGATCATTCCTAAGAGTAGGTTTTATTTCCTCATTACATGAATTTTAAAATCGTGCGCATCTGCTAAAATGGCACTTAATCATTAAATTTAATTCTTAAAAGTACAGTATCCTGCTCCAGATATGTTCATTAATGCTAATATAGAAAATCACAATAACACAACAGCACTACAGTTCAGGCTATTAATAATCTGCACGGACATCATCTGAAATAGGATTTAATTCCCGGGAATTGCCTCATTTAGCATTGTACACCTATGCTTTCATGAACTCAAGCCCGTGCTTTATTAAAAGGTCTACTGCAATCTTAAGGTTAAATTCCATACCTTAAAAAGTGTAATATCGGGAGATGTTTCATATTTATGAGAAGAGCGAACCACAGCATCTTTGATTGGGTCACCGGTGAGTACCCATTCCTCAGCTACAGACACAAATGGAAGTCTTTCTTGACCATTAGCTGAGTATGTGCGTTCTTCATGTATGCCAGACATTGCTTCTGAAGAAACCTTCTCAGGTGGCGATAATCCTGGACTCTTTCTTTTCCGATACAAATCCTTTTGAGTATTCTTACTTACATCACGAGGAGCCCAGGAGAATGCTCTGCGAGCCTCTTTCTGCAAATTTCCGATACTTTGTGTGAAATTTGACTTAGATGGCACGGTAGGTTTCGGTTTAGGTTTCGGTCTCAAAATAGATATTCGGGGCTCTCTAGCAGTGGAATTAACATTGATGGAAATGGCCTTGGAAGCATATGTAAGAATAAGTTTGTCATCCCTCAAGGAAGGAAACTCCTTTAGTATCTGTACAAGAACAACAGTGCTAGGTAAACTATTTGATCAAATAGACAATACCCAAGATGTGATGCAATGCAGTTATAAGGGGAAGTTTTCCATGAGAAGTAAAAAAGAGAAATGTTTCAATTTATAAAAAGGTTATAATCTCGATTGTTGGCATGGAAAAGCAATGAAAATCTTGATTTCCAATAGCTAACAGAAAACATGGCATCAAAATTGTAGACTAGAATACATACCAACAAAGCAGACTGCAGCTGCTTCATCATCAAAAGAACCTCAAGAATCAAATGAGGATGTTCATGCAGTGCAGAGCACCGTTGTTGGGAGGGTAATGGTAGTAAAGCCAGCACTCGAAGGCCAAGGGCCCATGCGTTGAGACGTGAAACCTCAACTTCAGACAAGTTACCAACTTGCCGCTTCAGAAAAAAATGCACCTATAAGCACAAGCAAAGAAAATGTTATTGAAGTGAAAGAGTACCATTTAGCTACCTATCTAAAGTATGTAGCAAGATACAAGTAGTTGCTTTGATTGTAAATCCGGCAATAGCTGCATAGCTCCAACAGCAGCTGGCAAGGCATCATCAGAATCCCTTAATGAAGAAAGAAATCTTGAAGCTTCCGCAGGTCCCCCGCCACTAAGGGGATCTGCAGTGAGCAACTTAACAAGTTGCCGACCCTGCAGCTCTCTCCGCAGATGTATTGATAAAGATGCGCTTTCAGCAACTTCAAGGGCAGCAGAAACGGCCCCTTTACCAGCTAACCTTAGAGCCAAACCTTCAGGATCTTCCTTGCAATCCGCTTCAACCTGACAGAGGAGAGAAAGAAGTAAATGAGAAGGAAAAGTATGGCCAATGCTCTTCCTGAAGGACAGACATTGCAGTAAAGGGCTCCTAGGAGTTTAGGAAGCAGATTTTTTGAGGAGGTGGTTGTGGACTTATGAGAATGAGAGTAGGGGCGAATGATGGTGTTTGGAAGGAGATAGGATGTGAAATTTGTTGTTCGATAACAGGTGGAGTAATTTGACGGGTGTCCGACTGAAAACAACGAATCGAACGGTGAAACTGAAAGGTAAGTTCCACCGTATAAATGCACCACTTGCAAAAGGAAGATAAAACATTTCAAAAAGCAAAACTAGAGACTAAAATATCCAAATTACACAAAATCAAGCAAAAGTACTCTAAACCAGACAATAAAAACATATAAATAGTTCCCTAATAGAAAAATACCTAACTGAAAATAATAAAATAGGAAAGAAATGGAAAAAAAAGTAAAGAAGATGTGCAAAAGATAAAAACACAATAGCGCTCTGTCCGAATGCGATATCATGGGGCTTCTCGTGATCCCCCAGAAACGCAGGATTCTGTGATCCTGCAGAACCGTAGAAACGACGTTCCTGCCTCAAAAGGCATTCACACATACACCGGAAGAAAGAAAAGGAATGGATGAGAGAAGGACCTCTTGCCAATTACTATAATGGTCATCAGCACATAAAATGTGATTATATCTTTGCAGAGCTTGCTTCTTTTGTAAAACCTGTATCAGAATAACAAAATAAATCAGATGTCACAGGAAAAATGGAAAAAACAAATATAAGAGATTGGGGTAATCCTATACCATGAATTTGAATGCTTGTTAAGAAAAAAGCCTTTGCGAACAAGATGAATGAGGACCATAAAAATACAAACATAAACAGACTAGAAGGCCAATATTGATGGATAAGTGTGTAAGCGAACAAACTGCAGAATCCATTCCAGTTATAAAAAGATTCTGTAAATCATTGGTGACGAATAATGCAAGATGAGCTCAGATATAAAAGTGAAATGATAATCATGTACAGAAAGAAAAAGAATATTCATAATGCCAGCCAAAATTGTTGGAATACAGCAGGTGAAGCAGACTTTCCTTTTTTTTTTTTTTTAATTGGTGACACTGATAAATGAAAATAAGGTAAACTGTAAAATAGAACCATTTAATTAAGAAAATGAACGTATACCTCATCCCTAATTGGGTCATTTTGAGAAAGATGGCAACTGCACATGGTTAGAACATCAATTGCAGCATTCAGCTCCCACCTATGCAGATACCTGAAAACAACAGCGCAAATAAAAACAACAAGCATCAAGATTAACCAAAATCAAGACCAAGAGTTAACAGGAACCACAATAAAAGAACATAGCCGTTCACGCTTGTACCAAGTGACTAAATATCTCGTACCAGATAAACAAGTATACAGTTTATACTCATCATTGCTGCATTTGTGATCTAATAATAACATAAATTCTCCATTCATTATAGTGATCATTGCATTAGCAATTTAAATGTCCACACTGTAGGGGCTAGCAATTTTGTTTGCAACTTCAAACTCACTCAACAAGCACTCATATTTTAATAGATATAAAATATATTTACTTTAACTCGGGGATGGTTCAAGCAATTCAAGTAAGTTGAAATAAAAAAAATGAGTTTCTATGAAAGTTTTCACTAATATAGTGAGACAAAAATCGTGCTGGTAAAAAGAGAGATTGATTGCCTTAGCTACAAATGACAATCTGAATAGTGTGTGACAAAATATCATATCGGTAAAAATAGAGATTGATCACATTAGCTACAAATGAGATCCATACATACAATTAAGAAAGTAAATAAACGGCAATAGAGAGGATATTTTAAGTGAAAATAAAAAAAAGTAAACAAAAAGAAAAAAAAACACCAGAAATAGCACAATCGAAACAACTTCCACTAGTTTTTTTTGAATTACGACAGGTCACTCCTCCTCAAACTTACAGAAGGCATCAATACGAACTTAGTAGAAGTTGGATGTGGACAGTATTCTTGATGATTGCAACACAATACTGTTCATTAATGGGACACTGCTCCTTTTAGGGGTAAAGACGACCCAACCAGATAGCAACGGACAAAGCAAACGCTGGAAGGCAAAGACAACCATTTAGGATGACCGAAATAGTCCTTTTGGAAACAAGGACAGAATGCCATTGGTGTGATAGATAAAGCAATATTAAAAAGTTATGGAGAAGCTAAGGGCGTTTAGGATGATCAACCTAGAGGGTACGACAGCATGATCCAAAGGTGAGGGAGATGTTGATGTAAAAAAGATATTATGTTCACACCTAGCCTAAGGGCAAATTTGTTTTTTACGCATATGGTCAATTTAGTCTTTTATTATTATTATTATTGGGTATAAATTATAATAATAAACAAAATTAAAAAAAATTTAACTTCGTTGTGCAGGTGTCGCTCGAGCAAGACTACACCGCTTATAGGAGCATTAAGACGAAATTTATTCCTCTTCTGCTCTAATTCGATCTCACGCACATAGAGAGCGAAAGAGAACGCGAGGGAGATAGGGTAATTGTGAGAGAGCGAGAGAGTGAGGCGGAGAAAGAAGATAAAAAGAAGAAAAAGTTAAAGTAACAACTAAAATATAGGGAGAAGAAAAAGGAGAAGGAGACAAGCGGTTCACATGCTACGATCATTTCCTTTCCGCAAATGAATTAAAGGGAAGATAGGTCGAGCGGCTATGCGGGTGTCACGAGCATCAAAGGAAAGGGGAAGAGGAAGGGGAAACGCGATTGATTACCTGAAAGGCTTAAACGGCTCACACGAGCGAAATAGAGTAGAAGAGAACTCCGAACGCAGCTTCAGGGCCCTATTGTACAATGGCTTGCAAAGGAAGGGGGAGGCAGGCTCTCCGAGTCATGTGTCTCGCAGAGGAAGGAGAAGGAAGAAAAGGGCTCGAGCAGCTTATAGAAACTCGGCTGAGAGCTCGGAGAAGAAGGAAGGGCACGCGGGAGCTCTGCATGCAGGAGATTTCAACCGAGCAAGGCTTTATTCGTTTAGTAGGGTAAGGCAAATGGTAAGGTAAATTAAAGTAATAATTTTAATTAAATTAAGTTAAATTATGAGATGTTACTTATTTATATACTATCATGTTAGAATTGTAAATTCTAGTTAAATTACCTATTAAGAAAATTCTAATATTGATTCTTACAATTATAGGTGATTAGAAAGTGAGCTAAAAAAAGAAAGGAAAATTTCAATTACAAATTTAATTTGTGAAAATTAATTAATATTTTTTTATTAAGTGCAAAAAAGGAGAATTGTTAGAAGCTTTAACAAAAAATTCAATTTGGATATTCCAATAGCGTCTGGTTAGGTTGAAAGTGGGTAGATAAGCTTCATAGGGTACCCAAGTATGGTCCTAATAGAGTAAAAAACATGATGCTGAAAAAAGTGCAGTTTGAGACCAGGTAGACTAAACCAAACCAGTACAGTAGAAGATTCATGATTAGGGTCAAAATCAGGAGACCATTTGAGTAACTTCATTGACTTGTCTGCAATGTTAAGATATTTTTTGGAGAAAATCCGAGTGTAGTCTTCAGTCACGGTTAATTGAATCATAATGTATTTCATCCATGAGCCCCACTTTTTATTTTCCTGCTAGTTTGAGATCATCAAAATTTTTTTTGATAACTTTCATAGGTGGGAGCCCCCACTGAAATTTTTCAATAAGAGCGGACTTGAATTTCTCAGTAAGGGATGAAATTTCTAATTCAAAAAAGAAAAGTGTTGCTTTATCATTTTTTCTACTTGCACTCTTAACAAAGGGGCAGTCATCTGTACTATCACGACAATCCTTATAACTTCAGGCGAAGGCAACCGTTGACTCCACCTGAGGATTACCCACCATGTGGGCAAAGGAGAATTTGTCAGGTGCAACCGAAGAAGGAAGTGTCATCAAAGCTGGGAAACCCTCCTGCTAGAAGCTCTCGATATAAATGTTGTCTGCGTAGTGCCGAGAAATCATAAGGCGAAGCTGCGAACTATCAGGCAGAAAGTCGCAGGCATCGAGCAGAAAGCCGCAGATGCGAATTGTCGGACAAGTCGACGTCGAAACAAGAACGACGCAGACATGAACAGCTGTGGACGTCGTCGTCGAAATCGAAGAGGGAACCGTCAGCATCAAAAAAGTCGACGCGAGCGAACGGGGCTATGTTGATCTCATTTTTAGTGAGGTCTAGTCTTTCTCTTAGGATTTAGGATCTAGCCTTAGGGATCTCCCTTCGACTATCTTAGAACCTTAGAAATGGGACCCGACTCATTTTAGAAGTTCGACCTGCTTCTGTCCCCTTTTGGAGTTTTGTGTGTGTGGTATCGACTTCTAGCACTTAGAAGGGTGAAGCCAACATGAGGAAACTCAAAAAGGATTCCTATAGGACCTTTCTGAGCCTTAGGGTGGCCTTCTGCACAATTCGCACTCGCGCGCGCACAAAACTTCGTATTTCGGAGAGTCAACACGTCCGATCGACACAACTCGCATCGCTTGCACTGTTACCTGTCGAAGACTCAAATAAACCTTTTGAAACGATCGATAGCGGGTCGAAATTTTATGGAATTTGAATTTTGACGCATTTTTTTTGACCCGATTGCCGACGACGTCGTCCGAGTGACCACGAATGACAAAATGGACTGCAACGGCACGTCTGGAGCCTCGATTTTGCCCAGGGAGGACACTTATTTTGTTATGACGCCGCGCGTGAATAAATCGCATATAATTTAATATATATATTAATTTATATAAAACCAAATCCCCCTTTCCTCTTTAAGCACCAAATCCCTAAACTCACGCACCCGAGCTCTGCCTCCCTTCTCTCTCCCGTTCGCGTGTCTAGCCTTTCCCATTCTCAGTCTCGACCCAACCGAGCTCCTCCTCTACGCGAGAGAAAGTTGACCTTGTTCGTCCTTGCCTGACATTCTTCTGCCCGCGGCCCTCCTTCCCGAAGCTGTGTCAGTCTCCCCGAACTGTGTTTTTTTCTTTTCTTGGTAATTTGACTCTGGGAAGCTTGCTCCCCGATACACTTGAATGGGAAACTCTCTCTTCTTCCCAATGCTTCCCTCGCTGCCACTAGGCTCGCCGCTCGATCCTTGATGTTTATTCGGTTGCTTCGCCTTCTGTGAGTAGGGGATGCGTCCTTTTTCTGCTTTTGGCCGGATTCGAGTGTCGTGGGTTCAAGAGGTGATCTTCTGTCTCTTCCCCTCTCTTCTCTGCCTATAAACATAGTTTCTTTTGAATTTTTTTGGGTTGTTGAAGAAAAGTTTGCAAAAGAGGAGAGTAGAAATTTTGGCTGTGAGGAGATTGAATTGTGAGGAGATTGGAAAGGAAATTTTTGTGAGAGCATTTCTTTGAGGTGAATTTTTGTGTTGCAGTGTTTTACATTGGCATTAAGGAGGTACCTCTTCTTCCCTCCTTTTCCTTCGGTGCCCTGTTTCCTTTCGGTTTTCCTCTTTGCCGAGTCTTTGAACTTGGCTCTGTTGGATGATACAGCATGCTAGTTCTCTTTACTTTCATATATTTTGAGGCATTCACTTTTATTTACTTTCATATATTTTGAGGCATTCACTTTAAAAGCATGTGAAGGATGAAATGTAAGCATGTTTCAAGCGTGAGATTCGATTAATTGCTTAGGACAGTGCAAGCATAGTATGATATAAGTATTCTTATTTTCTCCTATTAGCTTGAGATGAAATCGTAGCATATTCCTATTACTTTGAACAGGAGGGTTGAAACGTGGCTTTGAAATAATTTTAGCTCCTCTTGCAAGCATGTTGGGATATGTATTAAGAAGCTTTTCACTTACTTTCATTTAACATGAAATATTGGAGAGGTTATTTGGCCTTTTATAGATGCTAGGGAGTGCATTTTACTGTTTTATGCATGTTTGGGGGCTCGGTTTTGGCTCCCTATGGCTTTCCCTGGCTTGAAATGCATGCTATGAGAAAATCCATTTTGATTTGGAAAGTGTTGTAGCTTGTTTTGAGGGCTTGGTTTAGCTCCTCGTGAAGTTCCTCCCCTGTTCAAATATTTGCTGGAATAATTTCATGCTTGGGATGTTTAGACATGCAGGTTGTTCATTGGGCTTGAAATGGCTAGAGCTTTAATGTTGTTGGGCTCGGTTTTGATTTGATTTGGAGTCTCGGATTTGGGCTTGAAATGGTTGGATCTTTAATGTTGTAGGACTCGGTTTTGGTCCCTGTTGGGCTCGGTTTTGGCTTGATTTGGAGTCACGAGTTTTGGGCCCAGTTTTGGGCCTTGAATGGCTCGGCTTTGGGCTTTATGGATCTTTAACGCTTCATGGGAGTCTGGATTTTAATATTGTTGGGCTCGGTTTTGGGCCTTGAATGGCTCGGCTTTGGGCTTTTGTTGGTGCTCGGTTTTCATTTCTGGAGTATGGGATGTTGATTTTTGTGGAGACTTGAGTCTTGACTTTTATTGAGGTGTTAGAGCTCTTTTCGTAGCTTTAAGAGCTCTCGTGTTTGGCCTCTGCTGGACTCGGTTTGACACTAGTTGGGGCTGTGTTTGCTTTGTTTGGCCTCTGCTGGACTGGCTTGAGTTTAATTTCCCCCCCTCTTGTTGAGTTTAAATCACTTGAATGCGGGGAGCTGTGTTTGCTTTGCCTGGCCCTTACTCGAGAGGTGGTTTGGACCCCTCTTGTTGGGCTTGAATCATTTGTATGATTGTAGGCGGATCAAATTTGTTACTTTGAGAGATTGGTTATGTTTTGTACTCTCCTATGTATATCAAAACTTGTTGGGTTTGCCCCGACCGTGAGCCTTTCTTGTTGTTCATTGGGTTTGCCTCAGCCGTGAGCTTCCTCCCCTTCTGTGTCACGGGTTTGCCTTGATCGTGAGTCTTACCTGCTGTTCATCTCTTCGTAGTGATCCTGATCGTGAGCATTTATTTGGTTTTGTGGGAAGATTTTTATGCTTATTTGATATGTGAGGTTAAGGATTAATTCGGAAGTCGGAAGATTTTGATATCAACTTTGGGATTTTAGGAAGATTTGCAAGCTTTATTTGGGAGAGCATTTGGTTGATTTGATTAATCCTACATCTTTAGGGTCTGAGAAAATTAGTGCAAGGTGCCCCTTCATGTTTGTTAGGAAAAACCTTGGGCCCTACTTTTCCAGGTCTTTTCGACACGAGCTTTGAGGACTGGTATATTCCCCTTTTTGGTGTTTTAGATGGATTAGTGTCTCCTCTCTCTCACCCCATTTTTGTTCTTTTCTTTCTTTGCTTCTTGGTTCGGTTTTTCGACGTTTATGCCCGACGCATAATAGTCCACGTATAGCCTTTTGCTATACGTGAAACCATCAAACAAGGTCGCAAGTAATCGTTTTGGGGCGTATGGTGTTGATGATAAAGGCACACCGAAGATAGAGCAGAAAGATGCTCTATCCTATAACATCAAGATCCAGGCATTTGATGAACAATAGGATACGGCATCCTTCACCGACATAAGTCTAGCGGGAGTTGGCTCGAACCTCCTCAGATTGTTGGTAGTCCTATGTCTGGCAGCGTAATCGACTCGTGGACAACAAAAATTTCTAAAAAAAAGATAAATTTTGATAAAGCATTTTCAAACAAAAACATATTTTTCTACGAAACAAAAATTGATAACTTTTCTTTGTATGTTTAAAATTTGTGTGCATGTTTAAAACATAAAACGTACTTTAATGCTAGTTGTCCACCTGACGAATACCTGTTTAGGCTGGGAAATAGCCCTCTAAGTGAGGTTCAAGACACACTTCTAAACGAGTGACGGATTCTATACATTCGGGTGACCGAGTAGCCTTCGTGGACCCTCGAGTATAAATACATAGCTGAGCCTAGCCCCATACGAGTGATTGCGGTCCTCCTCACCTGAACCTTTTTTTGTTTTGTTTTATCGAAGCTTTGGGACAGGGCACTCGTGTTACTTTTATTTTCTTTCGGTCTAAGATTTTTTAGGATTTTTTTAGGATTCTTTTTCTTCTCTTTAACTTGAGTCGTTTTTCTCGAATTTTCTGTCATGAGTCATTGTTACACGTTTTTTTTTTCGGATTTCCTGGATGACGTTTCTTTCAAACTTCGTTTTTTGCGATGCATTTACACTTGTTATACTTAAGGAACAACGAATCTCACGGGCGTACAGGTTTGCTTTACATTTTACAGCATTTAATTTTTCTGTTTATACCTGCTACCGTACTGTACAGCATGTTATATTTGTCATGTTTCTACCTGCTACTGTTCTTTCTGTACAGCATGTTATATCATTCATGTTTCTATCTGCTACTGTTCTACATGCATCCTACTGTTATCCTGTACTGCACATTTTTATTTATATATCTTTAAGCATCTCTTCTTCTATATAGGATGTTTAGAAGGCTTTCACCATAGGGTTGTTTGATTTAACATCGCAACCAGACACCCTAGAAAACTTAAACTCGTCACGTCGGAGAGCTTGAAGCTAGCGCGGTGGGCAGCACGACCATCTTCAACAGCAGAACATGTCTTCCCCAACAAAATCATTCCTTTTCCTAGAAATTAAACAACAATCCATAGGATTTCGAGGTTGTTTGCCTAGCGCAACATAAATCCTCCACATTTTCTTTAGGCATTCGTATAGCTCTGTTGTACGATTTAAGCTCTAACTCGTTCTAGGTTCCGAGGTTGTCGTCCGATATGACGTAAACCCTCATATCATCCAAGCGATTTGTGTGGCCATGTCACGCAAATATAAGCCCTAATTAAACAAAATTGGCAGGATGGAACACTTTAATAATTTATTCTCAAAATTAAAACCAAATTATAGGATAGATTGGGAAGTCACTGAGGTTCTCCTCAAGATCTGTGACCTCCCCTAGTTTCTCTTCATTTTGATTCCTCAACATTGTTCCAGGTTCGAGCAGGTTCGAGCATTTCCGAGTCTTTCCCCTTTCACACCTCTTCGTCCGATTTCGTTGGAGAGTCCTATCCTTTTGACTTCTTTGAAGATGATATCCCCTGATTTTTATCGAGAGTTTTCTTAGGTGACTTCGATCATTTAAGATGTAATTAACTATAGCGGCTTGCCCTTATAGGAAGTTTTTCCGAACTTTTTCCGAACCCAGCAAACCCAGCCTAAAATAAACTCTATTTAGTTTTTTGTATTTAATAGGGGAACTTGTCGGCAAATAAAACGGTTTCGCAGACCAAACAGATGGCATAAATATCTTTATTTGATCGAGCCTCATATTCAAGTCTTGTGTTTATCCCTCGGGATAGATACAGGATTTGAGGTAGAGCGCTCTTTCATTTAAACTGTGGAAAATATGAGATCAGTTTGATTTCATATTTTTCTAAAATTATATGTAAATTAAAACGTCCTTCTCAAGCAAGCGACGGGATTTCACTCACAGCGACCGACAGCTTCTTACGGACAACTTTTGAACAAATCACCCACCAATCTTTAACTTTCCCTTTCCTTTAAGCGCTGACAGGCTAAAGTAACGATCGGGAGCGGAGTGTACGACAGAGAAGAGGTGCAGAGCCCTCTCGTTCAAGCGACAATCATAAGTGACGGAAATCGCCACTCGAAACCCTAGCAGAACTCTTGACCGTCATTTTTGTTCACATCACATTTATATATATATATACTTTGGTTATTTCTGACAATGGCCCGAGACTTCAAAGTTTGTTATCTGGCTCCGCTCTTAAAACTAAAAGAAGAGGCGGGACTAAACTGGCTCGTCTCTAGCTACTTTTTTTTTGCATGTTTTAAGTTTATTGAGTCTCTCTGTATCCTTTTGTTAGGGTAGTATTGTATTTGGTATCGTATTGCTAGGATGCCTCTATTGAGCCCTCTCATACAACATTTATGTATCATTTCTATTTTAATAAAATAAGCCCTTAGCTTTTCAATATATATATATATATATATATATATATTGGTGATACAATTTTTCATGCTTCTAAATATATGTAAATGGGAATGAATTATGAATTGAAATATTTTATGAATATCTGAGGTGATTTAATTAATCTAGTGCATCGCTTACTGAGTCCGGATTATGCAAATTCGGACTAGTGCTAATGAACTTTTAGTTTGATTGTCCGTGGTTTACCTACAAGAGGGGGTGAGTTGGGATGACACTGTTGAATGTATGGTTATACAGGAAGTATATTGATGATTACAATGCAACATCAAATTTTCATACTATGGAATGTATTTCTGCAGTCAAATATTTATAAGTAAATAATCAATTGAAAACTTGATTGATGCAGGCTTGTAATTAAATGCATTTCAATTATTTAAATATTTTATAAATTAGTGATACTTTTACATGAAGACATTTGATATCCATAAAACTGCACATTTATATGTATTGTTATTTAATATATTTTAAAATAGAGTTTCTTAAGCATTATATATTTTATGATGTTGGTTAAACCAGCCAATTTGGTTGGCTTCGGCTCAATCTCAACACCAACTGGTCAAGGGCCATACGAGCCTTCAATTTTGGTAAGCTAGGAGTTGTCGAATTCTTTAGAAGAAAATTTTATTTTAATAGTGAATTTGTGCCAGTTTGAGTTGTTGATGTCTAAAATAATATTCAAAAAGAAAATATACATCAATTCAGTTATCCTAGAGCTTCTTTAAAACCTGTTCTTTGCTTTAAAAACTATGCTTGATCATTTAGGCATTTTTTATCCAACAATCATTTATTTTAAAATCTAAAATTCTTTAAAATTAAGAGACGTAGCTCAAATTAGCTCAAAAATTACCTTGGAATCTATTAGTTTCGGCTCCACTAGAAATCAAAATTTTATTATTTCAAGTTGAGGCTTGTTCAGTCAAACTCAACTTGATCCCAGCCAAAAAATCTGAAAAGGCATACAATTACAAGAACACAGTATGACAATCATATGATAAAAACAGAAAAGTGATATGTAGCTCCTGGAATCAAGTTTCTATCCTGATTTTCAGTATTATCTATAGATGTTCTAGATAAAAAAAATAATTAGAGCCAACAAGTTCATGCTGATATAATAAAACGCTCAGCATACCAGAATTTAATGGGTATGCCTACAAGAATTATTAACTGCTAAAAAAATTCAAAAGGTAGCTTTGTAGTGAGCATAGAATTAAGAATTTGGGAATAAAAATCTGAAACAATGAATTTCATTAAATTATATATTCGATCAAGTAGCCAACTTACTTGAGTGCAAGCCTAGCAGCTAACTTTTTATCTTTAAGTCTAATGCAGTACTGCCAGGTGCTGCTTGCAAAATTGTGTGGTGCATAACCTTGTGGTTGTCTCGTCGTAGGATTTTTCTCGTCTCGATCAATGAGTAACTGAAGCAATTGGTCAGATGCTCCATTACGTAAACACCGATCAGATAAAGCTAAGGCATCCATTAATTTTCCTTCATTTATTAACCTTACAAATAGAAAGAGAAAAAACTCAAGGAGTTAAAATCACATGAGCTTTAATAACAAACAGTTTCTGTTTACATAGAAGTAATTGAACTAAAATTCAATCTCAAAACTACAAGTCAGTAGCAGCATGGTCTTACAGATTTAGAAAAAACATAGGAATCATGATGTTTACCGCTAAAAGCATATCAAATAATGTAAAGAAATCCTAAAAACATGCCAGCATATAAATCATGTAAATCATTGAAGCTCACGTTACTTAATAAGTGGGTTCAATCACACTAGTTAGATTTTGCACAAATTGAACAAGACCTTTTATCTAGTATGCAAACCATTCTAACTACTTTACCTTGCCCGTGGATTCAAATTCACAAGGCTAAAAATGAAATTAGGTATAGATAACCAATATCATCAAAACTATGGTAGAATAAAAGTATAAAATTTTACATACATAGCACACAATTATTATGTTTTTACATATCTCACACCTAAACATTGTTTTTTTCATACACAGTACTTCGTCGCTTTAAACCTATGCATTAAAAGGCATATTCCACTTTCAAAAAGTAGTAATAATACTATTTTTCAATGTGATATTAAAGATGATGCGGGACCGTTCACACCCACCAGCAATTCATGCACGTCGACTGGAAGTATCATTTTGAACCGGTCCAATATCCCTGTTGAATCGAAACCAGTTCAAATCCACTTAAATGTCGCAATCCCACTCCCTCTTTCACGATCATTTCTTTCCTGTGCCCTAATCTTCTGCCTCCTTTTAGCCATTGTAGCGCCCCTTCCTCCTCCTAGCCATTGCAGCCCCAGTTTTCATATCCTACCATTTCCTCCCCTTCCTTTCTCAGATCTTACGATTGCTAGTTACTAGTCTTCTCTCTATTTATATGTGCTTTTGCCCAGGTACTAATCAATGGTTGGTTTTCTGATTTCATGTACTCTTCTGGGTGTTCACTTGTTCGAGGTTGTATCCTTCAGCGAAGTGGTGCTACGGTCGTATCCCCGCACCCCTAATTCCACCGGGCATCTCCCCTCGTCAGTACCGGTATCTCAGCTCCTCCAGCGGGCTGTTCGACCTCCCTCCAAGCTTCCTCCAAAAGTCTCGACAAGTCACGACTCCTTTCCCTGCATTTGCACCACTACCTACGTCTCCTCCTTCCTCTGTCGCACCTCCCAGCCATTCCCCAGCAGGTGGTTGCACCTTCCAGTCAACCATAGTAGGCTGTCGTGACTCCCAGCCCTCACACAGCAGACTGTCGTGCCTCCCAACCCTTCACCAATTGGCTGCCGCACCATTTGGACCCTCCAGCACTCCTACCTCCGCTGACTATTCGCAACCGGCTCTCTGACACCCCCCCCCACAACACCCGATGCTAAAACAACCCCCCCCCCAAAACACCCGATGCTAAAGATTCATTTCAAGCCCTCTAGTCGGTACCAACCCCCCCCCCACCCCCCGAGCCAAAACCACCCCCCCCCCCAAAACACCCGATGCTAAAGATTCATTTCAAGCCCTCTAGTCGGTACCAACTCCTCCACCATCCCGCCCTCCAGCCTCCCACATCAGTACCTTACATGACTGTTTTTTGTTCCATGCTTAATATATTTTCCGCATTTCTCTATTTTATTTACTGCTTTTGTGTTTGTTTTACTGCTTATGCAGTCTTGCTTGCTATTCATGTGTTATTCTTGGTGAGGAGTCGTCCTTGTACCAATTTTTATACTGCAGCAATAAATTTTATTACGTTTGAGTTGTGGTTTAGGTTAACTTTGGCAGCAAAATGTTTAGAGCTACAAGTGTAGATATGAAAGTTCAGGGGTGTGATATGTAAGTACATAAGAATTTTGTGCTAAGATGCAAATGCCCCCAAGAAAAAAGTTCTCTTGCTCGGCCAATAAATCCTTTTAACTGATGATTTATGAACACATAAGTTTACCAACAAACTAATTTACCTTGCTCGGGATTGGTGATCAGCATAAATATCCAACCCCCAACCCTGGTGGAAAATTTTGACTTTTCATAACTTCCATAAATAAGGTAATCCAGCACCAAAATACCACCAACACACCATAAGGTATAAATTAATATCATTGAAAACGGAATTAATGTTTTATGTTTAGTTTGAATCATAGAATGTTGTTAAGAATATTTAGGGGGGGGGGGGGGGTTTACGAAATTATAGAACCAGGATTGGGTTGATTGGATTGTGGGATATCAATTTTGAAGGAAAAAAAGTACGAAAAATGAGGCATAACTCATGATGGAAGCAATAGAAAGAAAAGGAAAGTCTCAAAGAGCGTGAAATAGGATATACACTAAAAGAATTTGCCCTCAAACACTAAATTCCAAACTCTGACACCCAAGGGCTGCTCAATTTACTGCCTGCCCGCCCCTTGCTATAGTGGTCTGAGCGTGAGAGTTCGCGGAAGGCAGGCTCTCTGTCGCGAGAAACCCTACAGGGAGAGGGGAACGAAAGAGTAAATAGGGAGAAGAGAGTAGGTCGAGGCATACCAGGTGTCGCTCACCACTTCTGTGAGCTTCCTGCAATCGCAGCTCCTCCCGTGTCTTTTTGTCGAACAAAATGAGAGAGGGAGAGGAGTATCGAGAGAGGAGGGTAAATTTGAGAGCTCGGGATGGAAAATTCCCTAATCCACGCATATCATGCATAAGTTGTTTAAAAACAGTATTGCGGGATTAAGGAAAATTCGACAGCTCATATAGGTTAAAAACAGTATTGCGAGATTAAGGAATAATTAAGTTTATTTAAAATTAATTAAACTGAATACTTTCAAATTTTATACTTCCCATTACGTACATAACTTTATATGAAATTGATTGATTTTTCATGTAGAATTTTATAAAATTGTTTCAATTGAAATGTTTATACAAACTCTCAAAAACTCTACAACACAAATGTTATACAAATCACATTTGGCTACACGCCACTACTCGTTGCTCCTAGCTGGAAGACAACAGCGTAGAGTAAGCAACGAGCTGAGAGAATAATCACTGCTAAAATAAGAATTTATACAAGAAAAAAAAATAATGTGCATGCTCAAATGAAATTGTATACGTCTACACATCAATCATAACATGCTAGCATAGAAGAGAATAAGAAATGAGAGCAAGCAGTGTAGAAATCAAAACTACTGTATAAACATTTATGTCGCAAGCATAAAATCATAAGTATAATAAAAAACATATTCATAAGCGTGTTCATAAGTTATTTATCGTATATAATCACAGCAATGTCATTTCATAGTAATGTCACTTATAAATGTATAGGTCTCAACTATTTCCACGTTTTGTCATCATGGGTAATCAGCATACCCCGAAGAGTATATAAACTATCGATAAAAGTTTGGCTCATTTCAACATAGAAGTTATCAATAGCCCCATGGTACCAACGATTCACAATGTTTTGTCACCACCTGATAAAAACGGTTTAAGAACTTTGTCGTCGTCCGAACGCCAGGAGTCGAAAATAACACATCCTAGCATAGCGTACTTGCAAACACCCATGTAATAGTTTGCCCATAACATTACTCGTGACATTTCTTAACATAATAAACGTAGCAAACATTCATATGCATTTCATAAAACATATTTCCTACAATCAGACATGTCATATATCATATCTTCGAATTGTAATAAAATGACTACCTGCAAACAATTAAATTCATATGCATATTCATCTGTAAGAAAAGTCAACCGACATACATTCATTCCAAGCAGGTATTCAACTACAATACATAAGAAGTTTAAATACAACAAATGTTAAATACATAATCAAATAAAATCTAAAGGAGGTTATCTTTTTTAGAATAACACAAGATTATTTCATCTAACTTGACGGAGCAGTCCTACAATGAGTTTCATCACGCTCGTCTCCTGCTCACCACCCATCATAAATAAACTAAGAATCCATAAACATCACAAGACTTCAAAGAAATTCCAACTCATACCAACTCATATTGTGATTTAACCCAAAACATGACTTAAATGCCAACACATACCTCAAACGTGATTCTTGGTATCTCGTGCTCGCCACCGGCCCTTTTGAAATCTCCCATTTTCTTTCTAACTCTTCCTAACACCTCAAAACTTCTTTCCACCTTGCTAATTTCATGGTAAAACAATTATGAAAGTTCTCAAACAACTTATAAAACTTCCGATACAGATTCAACATCTCGGATGGCTATAAGAAATGAAAACTACATTAAAATCTAGGCAACCGAACGAAAATGCGAGGAAGGAAATTGTTGAAACATCTCGAAAATAATGATAATTATATTACATATTTGTTATAACTCTATATTTAGGGGGTTATAAATTGAATAAGAGATCTTGGAATCTCTATTTATTTTTCTCCTTGATTAGAGAGATTATTTGTCTCTTATACTTGTTATTATTCCTTTCTGTTTCTACTGTATTATGTGTTTATTTTTTTCCTTACCAGTAACTCTTGTAATAGGTATTTATACCTCTCTTTGCATCAATAAAATTAAGTCATCTTATATCTTTTTTCATGGTATCAGAGATTTACGATCCACAGGCGTTCGGTTAATTTACGTATCGTATTGTATTCGTCGTCGAAGTCCTTCGGCGCAGACGGGGTCGTGATTAATCGACTCAGACAGGATCACCGTCGTCGCTTGGAAATCCTTCGGCGCAGATACCCGGAACTCCGCCTTTCCATTCTCTACTTCGTCGTCGTCTCGAAATCCTTCGGCACAGAGACCCGAAACTCTGCGAAGCAACTGCGACCAGAGCTCGAGAGGATCACATCTCGCTGGCAACTTCGGCCAAACCCTCGCCTGCTTTGTTCGGGACTCCTCGATCATCTTCTCGTTAGTCTTCGTTCATTTGGCTTCGCCTGCTTTGTCTTCGTTCGGGACTCCTCAATCGTTCAGCTTCGTTAATTCGGCTTTTTGCTCGATTTGCTCACTCGAAGGGTTACTGCTGCAAACTCCTAGACAGCACGTGCTCGAGCAAATTCACCTTCCTTCGTCTCTAAAATGTCTAAATTCAAGTCTAGGACAAGTCAGCCTCTTCAGCCATCTCAGCCCGAACCTCACAGAAATACATCTGAAAATCATCTCATTCAGATCACTACAATTCGACTAAATGGTGATAATATTCTTCGATGTTCACAATCTGTTCGCATGTATATCTGAGGAAGAGGAAAGATTGGCTAAATCACAGGTGATACTAAATAGTTTGATGTGAATGACATAACATATGTCATTTGGGATGCAGAAAACTCAATGATAATGACATGGTTGTTCAATTCCGTGACTGAAGACATAAGTGCAAATTATCTGTGTTACTCTGCAGCCAAGGAATTATGGGACAATGTTTCAGAAATGTCTCTGATCTTGGAAATCAATCCCAAGATACTCTAATTTTGGGAATCAATCCCAAGTTTATGAGTTGACCTTGCGACTTGGGAAAATTTGTCAACGTGAGGATTCTGTGACAAAGTATTTCAATTCTCTTAGAAGGATTTGGCAGGACCTGGACTTATTTAACGATCATGAGTGGAAATTTCCACAAAGGATGATGAGGCTCGTGGCCGAATAATTGGAAGAAAACCCCTGCCTCCAATTAGTGAAATTTCTGCAGAGGTAGGGAGAGAAGAGAGTCAGAGACATGTGAAGTTGGGAAAGAAGACGGCAGGTTCAACCGAGTTCGTGGAAGGATTAGCACTGGCTATTCCTGAAGGTTAAGTGAGCAGGAAAACCTCTCACAACCAGTGTGTAGAAGACAAAAACAACCTGCACTGTGAGTACTATGGAAAACCACGCCATACTTGTGAAAAATGCTGGAAATTGCATGGTAAGTCACCTAATGGTAAGGGAAAAAAATCTTGTGAACATAGCACACCTACCACAAATGAAGTTGAGTCATCTCCACTTAGTAAAGAGAAATTAAGTCATCTTCTTAAACTGTTGAAATCTTGCTCATCATCTAATGCGCCTATCGGTTCTATAGCACAAACAGGTAGTAATCCTTTGGCTTTTCTAGGAAGTAACACGTCTTGGATCATTGATTCAGGAGCCTCTGATCATATGACAAGCTGTTCTCAATTATTTGTTTCATATTATCCATATTCAGGTTCTGAAAAAACCAGAATTGTTGATGGCAGTTTTCACATATTGCAGGAAAAGGAAATATTAAAATTTCAGAAAAAATCTCTTTAAAATCTGTCTTACATGTTCCAAAACGTACATGTAATCTTCTTTCTGTTAGCAAATTGTCTAAATATTCTGATTATTCCATTTTTCCTAAATAATCTTCTTTCTGTTAGCAAATTGTCTAAATATTCTGATTATTCCATTTTTCCTCTCCTTCCAATTGTGTTTTCTAGGACCGAAACTCGGGGAAGATAATTGGAACTGTCAAAGAAATAAATGAGTTGTACTACCATGATGGAACTGATTCTGCGAATAAAACAGCTCATGGATTAGATAGTACAAGTTCAAGCTTGGACAATGATCAGGTTATGTTATGACATAAAAGATTAGGACATCATAGCTTACCATATCTCAAATCTTTATTTCCTAAACTATTTAAAAGTATTGATTGTTTAAAACTTCATTGTGAATCGTGTAATTTATCTAAAAGTCATCGTGTTTCATTTCCAATAAAATCATATTCTGTTTCAAAACAATTTTATTTGGTGCACAGTGACATTTGAGGCACATCCAAAGTTAACACACTTTCTGGAAAAAAAATGATTTGTAACATTTATTGATGATCACACACAAGTTTGTTTGGTGTATTTATTGGAAAAAAAATCTAAATTTGAACAACGATTTAAAAATTTTTTCCACATGATTGAAAATCAATTTCAAACAAAAATTGGCATTCTAAGAACGAATAATGGAAATGAATATTTCAACAAATATTTAAGAACATTTATTTTGAAGAAAGATATTGTGCATCAATCCACTTGTTGTGACACACCACAATAAAATGGTAGTGTTGAAAGGAAAAATATACATTGAATCGAAGTTACCATGGGACTCATGTTTTCAATAAATGTCCTTAAAAATCTTTGGGATAATGCACTCCTTACCTCCTGTTATTTAATAAACAGAATGTCATCTTGAGTTCTGAAATTTAAAACACCTTTACAAGTTTTAAATAATTATTTTTTCAAATCTAAAATAACAACTAATCTCCCTTTAAAATTTTTTGGATGTGTTTACTATGTGCATGTCCCAAATGTGTTTCGCTCAAAACTTGATCTCAAAGCTGAAAAAAGTGTTTTTATTTGGTATGCTTCCAATAAACGTGAGTACAAATGCTTTAATCCTGTCAAAAAGAAATTTTTTGAGTGCATGGATGTCAAGTTTATCGAGGATCATCCTTTTTTTCAAACAAAAATTTCTTCAGGGGGAGAATTTAGTTGAAGAAAATAATTTTTTAGAAACTTTATCTATTTCTTTAACAAATTATGATATGGAAACTAGGGTCAGCACTACTAATCCTATTTTGCCAGATGTTACCTTCTCAGAGACATGGGGAGAAGTACTTCCAATGGATCATAATCCTCAACATGAGCTGCATAATCCTCAACATTAATCCTCAACATGAGCTGCAGGATTATATTAGGAAGAAATTCCATAAAGTTACTACAGCCCCAATTATTCCCTCAGCAGATGTTCAATCACCTTTGCCGAACAATGATCCTACAACTCGGAGTAACCTTCCCTCTACTTCCACTCCTTTTGATCTTGATCTTCTAATTGCTTTCAGAAAAGGAATCCGAACAAGCACGAAACATCTTATCACACAATACTTGTCATACCAATACTATCAAAAAATCATAGAGCATTTGTGTCTAGGATTTCTAATATGCTTGTTCCAAGAACAGTTCAGGAAGCATTAGGTGAATCGAGTTGGAAATTAGATGTGATGAAAGAAATAAATGCTCTTAAAAGAAATAACACTTGGACAGTTATTGATCTACCTAAAGATAAAAAGACAATTGGGTGTAAATGGGTGTTCACGGTGAAGTTTAAAGCTGATGGAATTGTGGAGAGATACAAAGTGAGACTAGTAGAAAAAGGATTTACTCAAACTCAAGGTATTGATTACCAAGAAACTTTTGCTCAGGTTGCTAAAATTAACTCTATTAGAGTACTTCTTTCTTTTGCAGTTAACTTCAACTAGCCCATACATCAATTTGATGTAAAAAATGCGGTTTTAAATAGAGAATTGCGAGAAGAATTGTAGGTAGTGTGTCTGTATCATATCGGAAGGAGTGCTGTATCATTTTTCTTTTGTAGGTAGTGTGTCTGTATCTTGCTCAGGACCAGGTGATGAAACCTCCTCGCTGCCTGAATGTCACCATTTCAGGTTTGTCATTGTTATTTTGAGCAAGATAGCAGCCAAACAATGCCTGTCTCTTTCTGAACATTGTCGACTTCACATATTTTCATTCCCTTTCCTCCATCCTCCCCATCAAATCCCCTTCTCAAATGCCTTCATCTCAAACATGTTCTAGAAGCCCCAGAACGATGTCAATGTCTTAATCTTCTTTGTTCTTGGAATAGTAGATAGACAATTATCTATTGAAAATATATTTTTGCCAATTGTTTGGCTCCTAATAGGCATTCATACTTTTCTAGAAGACAAATTAAAATCTTATACATTACCTTTTTAATCATGCATTTTCTTCACAGCTTTCATTTTCCTTCAATAGTAATTTTCTAACTCTCTATAAAGTGATTCAAGTTTGATACTCCTTACCTCGCAAACCCCTTTAAAATCTGTCAAAAGTTTATTGTGTTATCCTGGCCTTCATACTCCCATAATTCTTAAAAATATGTCCTTTTTTTTAATTTTCTACTTTCCATTTTTATTTTTTAGTTTTTAGTTTTTATTTTTTATTTTTTTTATTTTTTCTTTTGTAATTGTTTGTTGAATCATGCATAAATCTCTTGCATACTCCATTGTGTTGTCTACAAGCTTCTCCATTTTTTCTGTAAGGAGTGAGCTCCTATTTTTTGGCTCTGGGTAACTGATACTCACAAAATAACCACAAAACCGTATGATTTAAGCAGACTTCGCATCCAAATATCACAATAATCTCTTTTTAAAATATAAAAAGGTAAAATTTAATCAGATGACAGAGCAAACCATATTATGCAAGGAGACAGCTGCTAAACATAACTGTAAGTTGAGGTGGCAAGGCTAATCATATATGAATTTGAGAAAGTCGAGCTAGCCATTTATGATGAGATGTTATTTCTGGCAAATATAACGCCACACAGTTGAAAAAAAGGCTCTGAAGCCACCACAGGATAATTGGCAAGTGACCAACTCTTAGGAGAAAATGGGAATGAGGGACAAGAAGCTTAAAGATGGAACAAATAAATGGGAGATATTAGGAGAGAAAAATTCTTTAACACTTACACAAACTTGATGTTGTATTGTATTATTAAAAAAAGGATCGGCATCCCTATTTACAAGCTCCACCTTCTTAGCATGAGCTCTGATAATTCTAGATACATTGCTAAAGCGTTTAAATTAACTTTTAACAGCTGAAAATTTTCAAGAGAACAACTTTCATAATTAAGTTTTAAAATCTCTCAGATAATTATCTAAACATTTCTAAAAACATCTAATAACTTTTCAAGAATTCTTATTTTTGGAAAAAGAGATCAAACCAAGTTCAGTGCATGCTCAATAAAACGAGCAAAAAGAAAAATTCTTGTAAGAAGAGAGCAGCAATCTTTCAAATCAAATAATTAAAATAGCTATCAAAAGTACCTCTCCACAGCTTTCGCATATGGTGCTTCATTCTCCCAATCAAATGAAAGAAAACTAGCAGATGTCAGTTCAACATCAACAGTTGCTGGGGAATTTGGTTGCAATTCAGAAGCCAAGGGATCTTGAATATTAAGATCCGAAGTGGAAAGATGACAAGTCATGTCATCAATTTCAGATTCTGTATCACTTCCAGGGTCACGAGTTCGCTTCCCAGAAACTTTAACCACAGACTTAGCAATAGAAACTTCAGCATCACTTCTTCTAGCTATTGCTGCTGACTCAGATACCCTATGAAGATTTGACTGCATTTGAATCCATCGGTTCAATGTCGGAAACCTAGGGCAAAATTTCAAAGAATTAAAATGGGCAATCTACTGCAGAGGCACAACATCCATTATTATGGCTCCATACCTCTCAGACTGATCAAGAGCTAACTCATAGAATAACCTTTCAGTATCTGGGGCTTGCACAAAAGTATCATTCAAAGAACTAGAAATACATGAGTCACTTCCAGTAGATAGTATGTTACACCCAAACACACATGCTAAAACAGCCCTTACTGGAGAAAGGTTAGCAAGGTGCTTAACAACATTTAACTGTAGTGGATAAAGAGGATGGCATTGTGTTTCGAGAAATGAACCATGCAAACTAGGTCTAGCCAAGAGAGCTTTTTTCCCCAAATTCGTTCTAGAAAGGCTAGGTAAAACTGGAACACAAGCAAAGCCATGACCAGATCTAGGAGGAAACACTGGTGGCACGCAAGCAGCTATAACTTCATGTACAAAATCAACACCCATGATATCAGCTACTTTTCCAGCTGCATCAGTACTTCCACGCTCAAAGACAAGCCGAATAAGAAGCTGAAGATCAGTAAGATGTCATTTAAAAAAATAATAAATTCAGAAGTTCCTTTCTTATTGAAAAGAGTAGCAAACCAAATCATAAAAGGATACTTGCAAGCAAACAATAGTACAAGAATTTGAATGGAACAAAAAAAAAAATAATCCGGCCCTCAAGAATAGCCTGAGAAAGTAAGGACAATCCAAAGGAATGCATGTTAAAAAATTTAACCAATAACTGAACTTAAAAAGTAAAATTCAGCCGTCCTTTAAATCAAAGATGGGTAGACTAGGTTTCATTGATAAAAGACAATCAAAAAAATAAATAAAATAGATAGATATATAAAGAAAGAATAAGAAGCCAAAGCTTCATAGCTAGAAGTTGTGCAGAGAGTTGAGTTCCACAATGGCTTTAGATCAAAAGCAACTCCAGAAAATGAATGGTGAACAAAGACTAAAGACAGTTCCAAGAAACAATTAATGATGATGAGGGAATGTTTGGTTCAATGATATCTTCAATTTCTTGTTAACTTAATAAGTGATGCCTCTTCTTTGATTGGTAGGCAGCACAAGAAGTGTAACAACATCTAGATAGCTACCATCTCAAAAGCGATAACATTTAATTTGTCAAATAAATTAAAAAGATATATTAGGATTGAATCACTGCCGCACATTATAGATAGCCGTCCTATCCATAGAACTAATAATGCTATAGCAAGATTGCACTGAAACTCACATAACACTGTCATCTAAATTAACAGAATGAAAAAGCAAACCAATAAATGATAATTTTTTTAGAAAACACCGCTAATAGCCATACATCTTGCATTAATAAAAATTAGAAAGATAGAAGGGTGTTTGATTAATAAAAGGCCAAATTTTGAGAAGAATGTATAAATTTGGCCCATAATAGGAAGCAACTGAACTTCCAATTTATCTGTAGCAATTAAAATAAGAGGTGTGAAGGATACCATTCAGCAAAAACATATGCGATCAAAATTTACTTCAACTTTTCTGACCCAATTTATGTGCATCCAGAAAATGACCAAAAATGTTTTTATAAAATCTATTATGTGTTATGATCATTTTAATATATAGCTTTGAGTTTTTAAATTAAGATTTGGTATAAACTGAAAAAAAATCATTGTTTTATCAGGCTGTTTATGAAAGAACTTGACATTAAGATGATAAAAATAAGGAAATCAGTGTGTGAAGAGGGTCCTATCTTAGCAGTGAGATATTCAAGTTCTAATAAAAAATTTTCTTTTTCTTCATTCATTCACATGTACAGCCACAACCAATCCTCATATCTTTAAGTGGTTGTGCGTTCACATCAATGAGAACATTTCCAAATAAAATCAAGATGTTCTAATTCACTGCATGTCAGAAGATATAAAAGTGCTTTTAGCAACGCACATATTAATTGCTAGAGAGCAACCTCTAAATGTTTGGAGCAATAGTACACTAACACAAAATATTTCAAATTTGTTTCATGAGTCGCACAATTGTATTGAAATAGCATGCACAACAAGTTAAATCACCAAAATAAATTTATCTACAATCCACCAGCAATTGTGTCAAAATATTCAAATTTCATGTCTGAGAATGTCGTGTGATTAAGCACAAAGTGAATTCAAATCATCTCTCTAAGAAGTATGCATTCATTTTGAAATTTTAAAATCTTTTCAAAATTCATTATTCAAACTTGATTAATAAACATGCTTTCAACTAGAACATAAATCTTATCTATCACATCATGAATACTATATTTGAAAAACTTGTACAATAACAACAACAAGCTTTTATCCCAATAAGTGGGGTAGGCTACATAAATCCTTTTTCTCCAATGTGTCCTATTGAGTGTCATATTTTCATCTAAGTGTAATAAATTAAGATTATTTTTATAGAACATGCCCAAATCTTTATAGGTCAACATCTACCTTGCCTAGGATAAGTCAAATCTAAAACATCTACTCCCCTAAAAGGGTCATCAGATGGGACGTTTGATATAACCAAACCATCTAAAACAACACTCTCTCTGTCTATCACTGGAGCAACTCCAACCCTTTCATGGATATATTTGTTTCGCATTTTGTCTCTACATGTAAAATCATGCAAACATCTGACCATTCGCATCTCAACAACACTTAATTTTATGCTTCTATTTTATAGGCCAACATTCCGGGTCATAAAGCATTGTAGGTCTCACCATCATCTTATAAAATTTTCCTTCGAGTCAAAGCGATACTTTTCTATCACACAACAGGCATGCTGCATTCCTTCGCTTCAACCATCCAACTTACATTCAATTAATAACCTCCCCATCTATATCACCATCATTTTGAACAATATAATCGGGATATCTAAAATGTTTACAAATTTTAATGACTTGAACACGTATTTTTACAACCACGCCACAAGATCTAATATTACTAAAACTACATTCCATGTATTTAGTTTTAGATCTACTAAAATGAAAGCCTTAGACTCTTAAATTGGCCTTTAAATTTTAAATTTTTCCTTAACACTCTCTCTAGTTTTATCCATAAGAAGGAAATCATTAGCGAAAAGCATACACCAAGGTACATACTCCTATAAATGTCCAGTAAGAGCATCCAAAACTCAAGCAAAAAGATATGATTTCATAGCCAATCCCTAATGTAATCCAACTAAAATAGGAAAATACTTATTCAATTCTCCTTGTGTTCAAACACAAGTAGCAACTCTAATATACATATATTTAATGACTTGAATATAAACAATATCAACACATTTCTTTTCTAAAAATCTCCAAAGTACTTCTCTTTGAACTTTATCATAAGCTTTTTCTAAATCAACAAAAATTATACGTAGATTCTTCTTATTCTCCCTATACTTTTCCATCAAACATCTCAAATAGATGTATAGCTTCCATAGTAGACTTGTCCGACATTAATTTAAACTGATTTTGAGAAATTTTTGTATCACATTGCAATTAATGTAGAATTACTCTCCCCCCATAATTTTAATGTATAACACATTAGCTTAATTACTTTATAATTTGCACACACTTGTGCATCCCCTTTATTCTTAAAAATAGAAATCAATAGACTTTTTATCCACCCATTACGCATCTTTTTAGTCTTTAAAAAATATTTTAAATATAGTAAACCAAGAAATTCTCAAGTCTCTTAAATATTTTCACACATCAACTAGAATACCATCAGGTCCTACTGCTTTTCCATACTTCATCTTTTTAAAGCCTCCTTAGCTTCCCTTTTACTAATGCAGAGATGGAAATAAAACACTTTGATAATTATGATATTAAGATCAATAAAATCAATCGTATTTTCAGTCTTCATTGTAAACTTATCAAATATCTCAACCACCTATGTTGAATATCTTTATCTAAAAAAAGTAGTTATGTATTTTCCTCCTTATTACATTTTATTTGAGCTAAATCTTTAATTTTCTTATATTAATTTATACAAATATTTTTCAATCTCTATAATATTTAAATTATTATAAAAATTATTAAAAGCGGAATTCTTAGTATCACAAATTATTGTTTTAGATTTCCTAGGGGTCATCTTATATTTTTCCAATTTCTACAAGCGTTTATATTTAATAATAATAATAACAATAATAATAATAAAATTCTTAATTTTTATCTTTTCTTGCACATTATTATTCCATCATCAACTATTTTTATTTATAAGAACATTTATTTTTTTTATTTTCCATGCACATATTTTACAACTTGCTTAAGAGTACTCGTTAGATTATCTCAAAGTATTAGCTTTTTCATGAACATCCCAAATCTTAAAATCTCAAAATTTACCTACTTACTATATCCAGAGTCCAATGTCCTCACCACTAGACCATGGAACCTTTTCATAGTAGAAAATTGTATTTAAAAGAAGTATTGAAACCATATTCTTAGTGTAATAAAAATAACACCATAAAACTTGTAATTAAGAAAAGAATCATTAAACCATTATCTTAGTCTAATATAACTATAACTTCACAGGGGACCATGAATTGGATGCTTTTTGGTGAATCTTACAGATTTTATTAACCATTTATAAAACCTTTTGTCGTTTACAAAGCAAAAAAAAATTCAAAATGAAAACTTTAGAACCATTATGCAAGCAAAACTTAATAAAGATTCAGCCCACAGACAATACTCTATAGGCAAAAAAGCAAAGTTGGCATTGTCTAAATTGACAAATGCAACCATTCAAACAGTACTTATAGTGGGCATGATAATTACACATTTTAACCAGATGGGTTGCACCATATAAAATAAAAAGTTTTAAATTACAAATCTCTTTCAAATGATTAAATTCATCAATACACATGAATATTTTCAAGTGGGATGATTTGCCTACAGAAAAATGTTGTAAGTTTCATTTTTTGAAGCTCTATCATCAGTCTTTAGAATCAGAGTTGCTAAAACTTCTACATCTCAATGAACTAATGCAAAATCGATAAAAAAATTTCGACAAATAAATTTACAGTTAAACACTCAACCATGAAACCAATATATATATATATTTTTTTTTGTCTTTCATTCAAATATGACTTTTAAAAAAAAAATCATTTTAAAAATGAAATCTCTCAACGTCACACCCAAAAAATTCATTTCAATCGTAAGTTATAATCCACAACTCTTGATCCTTTATATGGAAAAATAGAGTCAACAATGTTTATAATGCAATGAATTTCCAAACAGGTGAAGTCGACAGTGCCTAAAATAACTATGCAACTTTTTCAAATATCCCATTAAAAGCTGAATTAAAAGAAAGCTTCAACCGAAGGAAACCTTTATTATCTAGATTCCATTAAAGTCTAATGCAACTCACTTTGAGCTTAAATTTTGATGAATTATAACTAATGGAACAAATATGTAAAATCCAAGATCATTTAAGTGAAATTCTTTCATAGCAACCAAAGAGTAAAATCCATCTATCAATCACTCAAATAGTTTTTTGAAAGGAGTGATTGACTAAAAAAAGGATCCTTCACATCTCCCACATCTCTGCCCTAGCAACGGTCTTCTGTGTGAAGCTTGCCCACTCCGCCCCCATTGCGGGGATCGCCTTGCATGTCTCAATGGTCACTCTAAAAAAAAACTCACGCCAATAAAAACATGACCTTTGTCCTCTGCTTATATGATTTTATTGAAAAATAGCACAGCACAAAGTAGCAATTATGACTAGAAACAAAAGAATCACCATAAATTAGTAAAATTATATTATAATCATGGACAAAGCCGATTTACATTAGATGAGAAAGGCATAGACTGAAATAGAAATAGATGATAGAATGAAATCGAGGGCTTGCAAGCAACATTAGATGAGAAAGGCATAGAGGTGTAGATCTTACATCTTTTGGCCACTCATAGATAAGAGAGAAAAAGTTAAAATCATGAGTTGTGTCAATTCCATCAACTATGTCACCGATTGTTGCAATATAGATTATAAATGATGAAAGGTAAGTGGATGGCTTTGAAGATAAGGGACCATAAAGCCTTTTCCCAGAATCTTTTACATCATAACTAGTGAGATCACGATTATTCTCAGCTGTTGGTGTGCTAGAAGCTCCAAACTTGAAAACTTTAAGGCCAAGCCCAAGAACAGCACCCTTATCAGAATTTGGCAGTTTTCTCTCCGGATACAAGCCCTCCGCTCTCAAGAAATTCCCATCTGAATCTTCATCCACAACAGCTCTTGCCAGATTATGAAGCTTTCCTATATAATAAATAATGCAAGGTGTCATATGACAAAAGGATATACACATTGGAGAAACTCAATTTATCTTAAAAAAATATAATAAAATAGAACTTACCACTCAAAAATTGTCGCTTTCCTGTATGAGCATCATCAATCATCTGATGTAAGATCAAAAGCGCCCGTTGTCTCTGCCATAGCCGGCTGCCTTCAGATGAACAAGAAATAGCAGTTTCCCCAATAAAAATTTCCGCGAGAGCACAAGCACTATCCTGCCAATACCGTACATGAGGAAAAGTCAAGTCCAAATTCTTTTCAAGAAGATAGAGTAGTAGAAGAGAAAATTCAAAGAAAATTTTAATCAAACTAGAGTTACTATGTAGGCCAATAGATGATAATTCATGATAATTGATGCAATTGATCTGAATCACAAAATCTAGTCTTCGAAAATACAACACATGAATTACAACAGTCAGTAGAAATTTATTTATTGCACGTTTGAATTTTAAAATTAAAGTTTAAATATTGAATTTTAGTTTATCATACCTAGGATGTTATCCTATTTCAATGGTTGCAAGTGAGAATTTTTGCTGCTACATTCCAGATTTCCTTTTGGCTTAATTTCTGCCCAGTAAATACCCTTCTCAGGATTGTAACTTACAATTACTCTAGAAAGCATGATTCTAGATGGTTTCTCTTGTGACTCTGAGGCAGTATGTCAAATTTGACAACTGTCGGTCAACTTTTTTTTTTCGATTAATAGAATTAGATTTTATGAAATATGAAAATAATTTTTGAGATTTAATTTAAGTATAAAAAATACATAATTTGAGTTTTAAAAACAATATGTTTTAATTTTTGAAAAATGAGACCAAATGGATCTCATTAGTCTGAGAGTTTGCATAATCGTGTCTGATACCGCGAATACTACACCTTCCCGAGAGATAAGTGTAGACCTCGGCGATAGACCCAATCCTGCAAACTAAGAGATTTGTGACATCCGTTTGGTCTGCGAACCTTTTATATATGACCGACAAATTCCCCTATTTAATACAAAGATTAAATAGGATTTATTTTACCTGGGTTCCAAGTTCCCTATAGAGGCAAGCCCCTATAGTTAATTACATCCCAAATGACGGGAGTCACTTGAGAAAACTCTCGATAATGATCAATGGTTCTAGTCTTCAAGAATTCAAGGTTCAGGTTTTCAAGGTAGGACGTAGAAGGGCAAATGGGAGTGGCTCAAACATGAACAGTTATTTCAGGAGTCCAAAGGAAAGAAAAGGTAGGGGATGTCACAGATCCTAAGGAGAACCCTTAGTGACTTCCCAAACTATCCTAATGTGTGGCTGCATTTTTAGAGATGATGTTATTTAAATGTTCAATCCTGCCAATTTTATTATTTGGGACTTACATTTGCATAA